AGCCTCTGTCCCCGGCGGCCGATGCTCGTTCCTATCACAGGAGTTCTAGCAACAGTGCTATGCTAGAACTCCTGTGTTGGAGGTGACAGGGTCAATAAAGAGTACCTGTCACCTCCAAATGCTATTACACAGGGGATTATTATTCCCTGTGTGATAGCAATACCATAAAAAGTTTTTTTTTTAAATAGTTAAAAAGAAAAAGTAAAAAATATTAATTAAAAATGCAACTAAATAAAAATGTAAAAAATAAAAAGGCAATTAAGTAAAAATAATAAAACAAATGAACATTTTTTACAAAGTAAATAAAAACAGAAAAAAATAAAACCAGCCCCACGCGAATAAACGTGCAGTTTATAAAACCAGTAGCAACTGAATGCAGAGGCAACTATTTATGATAATAAAGAGTAGATGCATAGTCCTATACAACCGGCCCTTTGAGGGTAACCATACTGCTGATGCGGCCCCCGACGAATTTGAGTTTGCCACCCCTGATCTAAGCCAAAGCTGACAAAGACTTTGAAGACTTGTATTTTTAAGTAAACATACGCATAGAGCATATTTATAAAACAGTGAATGTAACATTCACTAACCATTTGCTGCAGGTGAATCAATCATTGTAGATTAAAACACATGCCCAGGATAATAAACCTGTGGTGAATGTTTGGTAAATGTCACATTGAATGCTTTTTAAATATACCATATTATCTCAAATTGTTCATTTCACTAGCAAGAAGTGAGGAGTCATGGGCAGTGCTACATCTCTGGCATTGTATCTGAGTACAAATATTCCCTTTAATAGTAATCTACAACCACACAATATGCAAATTGGTAACAAACATGTTACCAATTTTTATGGGTTTCTCTCTGGTTCCACAACATCTTTGAAATTTCCAGTGCTGATCTGCACTCAGGCTGCAGCATCTACAGAAGCATCTTAGGATCAGCCACTTAGGCTTATTTAGTGAGTACATTTGTTATACCCCTTAAGCCTCCTAGAGATTTATTGAAAGGAGAAACTTAACTTAAAGAAGAACTCTGGGGCAGAATAAAACTTAACCCTTACATTGGGGCTACCCATGCATTGCAAAGGTTAAGTGCTCATTTTCAATAACAAAGATATACTTACACGAACCTTGATCCCACCTGGCCCCTAGACCGTTCCCTGCGGTCTCTGTCCATCTGCACTCCAGCGATGGAATGTCCCTCAGCATTGTCTAATACACTATATTAGATGTGATGACTCATGAATCCTTAGACCACTAGAGCAGAGGTGGAGAGAGGCTGAGGGAATAGTCCAGCAGCAAGACAGGACCAAGGTTCCAGTGAGTATATATTGTTATTTTAGACCCTAGACTAACACAAGCACTTAACCCTTGCAGTGTGGGGTAGCTCCACTGAAAGATATAAATCTTATTCTGCCCAGAATTCTTCTTCAAAAAGGATATACTGTTTGCAATACAGCAATGTAATGTCAAGCAAATAATGTTTCTATCCATAGTCTTACCAGTCAAGTACAAGGGGGTTAGAGATGATACACTATTTCTGCAGCAAGATCTCCTGAAAGTGTACAAACATACTTCACCCCTAGAAGGCCACGTTAATGAAATGGATATTGTCTATTCCTTAAAAGCTAATGCTAAGACCAAACTTCACAGGGTGGATGGTACCTTTCTTAAATCTGAAGATACTGAAAATAGACTGACCAAAAAAACCCCATCAGATTGGCTTCCCTGAATGTGCTGAAGACAATAATCCCATTATATTTGGTGAACAGTGGATTTTAGATGTTTTTGGTACCTGTTCCCATTCTTTGTAGGAGAAAAAGCTCACACAGTTCCCACTCACCCTTTGCCCCTTGAACCCTTTCTTGTTCATTTACTGAATTACATAGACAAAGATAATATCTTGCTGAGATTCAGAGAGCTAAGGGGTCTCGACCCCAAGTGAAGTGAGCCGAACCCTTTTCGGCTATTCACTTCAGGCTTGTATGGCTGATTTCAGCCGTATATCGGCTGAAATCAGCCGTACATCGGCTTGCTTCGCATGGCTTCGGGTCGGCCGAACATGCTCAGCATGTGCAAATTATCCACTGCTACTAATATTAGGTAAGGTAACACGAATATGCAAATACCAGTAAAGGATACTGGCAACAAAGCCTTTTTAGCTTTGGATGCAGCCAAGGCCTTTGATAGTGTTGAGTGGGTGTATATCTGCACTGTCCTCTAATGATTTGGTGTGAGTTTGTGTAAATGGGTTAAATTGTTATACAATCACCCCCTGGTCTGTGTCTGAGTAAATTTACTGCAATCCTCTACTTTTTATTTGTATAATGGGATGTGACGGAGTTGTCCTTTCTGCTTTTTGCAGTGGTGATTGAGCCTATTGCCTTTTTTCTATGGCAGTCCCCAGGAGTTGTGGATTTTTGCAGAGGTCAGGAGGAGAAAAAGATCACTGTATATGCGGATGGAATGCTTTTATTTTTATCTGACACTCACTCCTCTCTCCTAACTGCCATGTCTCTCATTCCAAGTCTGGTAAACTATCCAGTTTGATAATTAGTTGGTACAAATCATTGCTGCTACACATATGGGTCTATTCACAAAGCTGCCGAGGGCAGCCGAGTGAATGACCGATCAGAAGTGAAGTGAGCCGAACACTGTTCGGCTATTCACTTCAGGCTGGTACGGCTGATTTCAGCCGTATATCGGCTGAAATCAGCCGTACATCGGCTTGCTTCGTGTGGCTTCGAAACAGCCGAACATGCTCAGCATGAAAGGATCGGCCGAAGCTACGGCCAGATCCTTCGGCAGCTTTGTGAATAGACCCCATAGACTCCCTTCCAGGGCCACTGCCTGATGCCCTCTCCTATATTAAGGTGATTTCAAACTAAATATTTGGACGTAGTAATTTCCATTACCAATAAGAATTGTATCCAGTCTAAACTTATACCTTTAAGTTGGGTATACAAGTGTTTTTTGTTCAACCCTGGGGATGAATGGGTAAAAAAAGAAAACAGATTCATTCATCAACGCTTACAAGCCATTGACCATTGTCAGAGTACCCGAATTGACCTGGCAGCTTATTGGCTGCCAGCTCCGTTTGGCCAAAATTCATACCATGTATACCCTACTTTAGTTTACAGATTTAGAACCAAGGAAATACATGGTATAAATTGCCTATCTCAGTAGTGGGATGGATAAACTTACTTAAGATGATATGGGGGGGTGTGGCTTACCTATGGCGGCGGCTGGACGTGTTTAACTGAAGCTCCCGCTCCATCCCCGAGTTGCCTGTGACACAAGGACACTTCGCCGGACTCCCTTGCCATCCTCATGGGGGGGAAAAGAGGCCAAAAGTCAGGCTCAGCCAAGAGACCGAATGCGGGCTCACTCAATCGCCTATGGGTGGCGGAATCCCCGCCGGATGACCGCGGGGCCTTGCACGCGCCTCCAACCCTCTCGCCAGCGCGGCCTGCGCAGGCCTCTACTCACCATCGCCGGCCTGAGCGTGATGATACCTCGGCCCAGTCGGAGGCGGAGGGCTCGGATGACGGCTCCGAAATGTCGATGCACACCTTGGCACGATCCATGCCGACCAAGCGGGAGCTGTCAGCGATGTTTCTCTGCCTGGAGACCTCTATTAAGTCGGACCTGACGGTGCTCAGGTCCGAACTTTCGCACACGCTGCACTGCGTGGAGGCCGTGGAGGACCCCCTGGATGAACACACTCAGGCCATCCGTGAGCTCCAGAATCAGGGTAAGCTCTCCTGGCTGCACACCCGCCAAG